GAAACTTGTAAATCTATCAGCAAATAAGGATTAGCTGAATAAAATTGTCATAAATTGACCTAGTGAAAATATGGATTTCTACCACAAAAGTAAGATGAGACCTCATAACCTTAAACTTATAGACAAATGGTAAATTTTATAGTAACTTAAAAGATTTGTGGTAAATTTATTTAGCTCAAAAATGAATAAAACAGAGAATTTCAGAGGAGCCTAAGAAGTAGATTTGAGGGTTAACAAATTTCAACCTGCATCTGTGTGTACGAATTTATAGGTCCAAAACTTAGAGACGGACAGTATTGAAGCGAAAAAGTTTAAGCTACAAATGTTGTTGGTATCTTCTTCGAAAACAATGGAGCATTTATAAAAGGATCTTTTTGTGACAAAAACACACACTATACTGCTGTACCAAAAAGTGCTACCCACGACACAAGACTAAAATTGAACCAGGATTACAAGAGCAATTAAGATGACGTGAAAATAATAAACGTTGAGACACTAAATAAGTTTACAGGCAGCAAGAAACGATGAATTTCTTAGGAGTCTTATTTAAAATACATGAATGAATTGTTAACGCACGTAGAGAAATAAATAAATACAAAATACAATAAGTTATAAAAAATAGACCAATTCCTATTTGATTTGATTATAAAAAGTATTAGAGAGAGAGGAGAATTCGGGTTCCGAAAAACATACTCAAGAAATGGAAAATTCAATCTAGGCATGAGGGGAACTCTGAAGACTACACAACAGTGGTTTAGTCACAAGCCGTGGAAAATAAAAATAAAAAATAAAAAAAAAAAAATCATGATAAAAAAAAGCTATAAAAAACTGAAAAAAATTAGAGTTCAACAAATTTAACTACTAGTATAAAACAGTTAAGGAAACCATAAAAAGAAAATCCAAAAAGTCTAAATAAACATACAAAACTCAAAAAGGTATATTCTGAAGAACAGCGAGTGGCAGGAAGCGACTACTTTATCTTCTTTTAAGATTTAAGCAGTCAACGGCTTGAAAATAATCTCAGCAATCAGAGACAAAAACCGCAATTCACTACCTACATCTACTAAAAGGAGTTTGGTACAAGCAAAGTATCCCCTTGCTTTTTAGGCACACTTAATTTAGCCGTTGGCTTAAAAGAGTAACAAAATTAAAGGAAAAAAAATCCACTTCTACTAGTAAAAAATTGATTTCCTTTGATTTGCCTGAAAAACCAATCTAAAAGAATTTCAACGTCAAGTAGGTATGAATTTGATCAATTTAACTTATCAAGGAGGTGTGATGCGGAATAGTTTGAGCCTCACCGAGATGAAAATTAGTAATTACAGGGAACACTATGAATTTTGAGGGTTGAAATTTTGAGTCAATAAAGCTACAAAAAAAATGGCATCTGGAAGCTCTTCCTACAATTATTCTCAAAATTGAACAACTTTTAAAAAATCATATTGAAAGGTAGAAAAACAGTAGACTAAAAGCTATTGGTATTCATTGAATACCTCCTAAAAAAAAAGAGAAAAAAAATTGAATTGAAGAAAAAAGGAAAACCGTTATTAGTAAACTTCATACCAAAAAATGTTCTATTCTTCAATCATTTCATTGCTGATAGGAGAAAATAAACGAGGAGGGTAGGAAACAAGATTATCAAAAAATAAAACTGAGTTGCAAGACTATTTACAATACTACCATTGAAACCGTTGATTAAACAAATATAAAATTTGAATTTTTTTACCTTAAAAAAAGAGAAAAAAAGAGTTAGAAAAAAATAGAGAAAAAAACAGACACTTTACAAAAAGCAAAGTAGAAGTCAAGCGTAAAAAAGACGGGGCGCAAAAACTGAAATAAAAAACAAAGTTTATAAAAGATAAAATACGTACATAGCTCATGAGATATTAAATGTGATTATTCTTACTTCTTAGACATTAAATAGCTATCGAAAGTGAGTTACAAAGTGTAGTGATACGAGTTCTTTGGCATTTCGGGAGATCATGCACATCACAAAAATATTTCAAAACGCACTGTTTCATTTGCAGACGCTTCAATGAGGATTGCGGTTAATAATCTAGAGATATTTAAGCGCAATTGCTATTATGATTTGTACTCCGCCCGAGGATGGAAAGTATTAGACTTGAAAACTTCTGGTTATCAGTTTAAGTTAGCACAATTGTTATCATGCATAGAGTATGGGAAGTGGTACCTGTGGTCCAAAAGAAAAAAATTCTCGTCAAGTGCTGCCAGCGGCCAGGACGCTTAGAAACTTCCTTAACAATTATTCTTAGTCCATTCAACTTTTTAACCAAAGTGAAAATCTTTGCTGATTAGCATGCAACACTCTTCTCTCAGTTTTCTGATGCGAAAACATCCTGAAGATTGCTAAAGCTTAAAGAGTAGCGAAAATTTAGCAAGAGAAAACAACAACTCTTGTGACATTCCCTGACATCTTTGGTATATATTATGGAATTTTTCCACAGTAATGGTTTTTTGGGGTTCTTCAGTCTAGTAAACAACCTGACCACTTAAGCACTCAATTAACTGCCCCAATAATTACAGATGCGCTCAATTACAAAACACATTTTCAAACAGTGAGGGAAAGAGAATCAAAGGAAATTAATAATTTTTCTTCTTCACCTTCGTTTAAAGCGGTGCTTTAACTATGTTTTAAAAATAGACCGAAATCGCTTTCAAGTAACTGAAAAAAAATCTGTTTGCTAAAGGTATCTCTTTTCACCGCTTGAACTTAGGCATTGTGAAAAAAATCGAAGGTAAAGAGAGACAGGAAAGGAGACCCATTAACGGTAACACATTACAGCAATCAACCTAACTCCACTAGACTTCACTAAGCCAGAGGCGATAATACAAAATCCTGAAAAAATTAAGAATAAAGGACATGCCACAGCAACGGTTAAAGTATTTCATGCAACTAGAGACGGCGAAAAGAGCACTGCCAATAACAGTAGAAAGGTGACGCACTGCCCTATGTAAATAAATGAGAGAGTTGGAGAACCCGCCTCTTTTTCAATTTTAAAATTTAACATAGGTGGGAGGGTTCAATGGAACATGCTTAAAGTGCTACCTCATGCAAAAATGGAACGAACTGATAAAGCTTCGTCTCCATGTGTTTGTTTAATAAACAGATAATTTAACAAAACGAAATTTGTAACGATTAAAATTTAAGAAGAGTGTGTGTTACAGGATATAATGCCAAAAATTGGAACCAACTGGGGTGCAATTAATTGATTAATTCGATATTGATTGATTGATTGATTAGGTACTCAACTATTTGTGACCTAGTATAAATATTTCAAGGTTTGCGGATCTGATGATAGAATCTTAGGTTTTCAGAGAGTGTGCTCATTACGATTTCCATGCATTAATATAAATATCATGTAGCACTAATGTAAGAACCGAGGAGTAAAAGTTGTTAGCATATTTTCAAATAGTGAATAAGTAGCGTTACCGTCCAAAATGAGCTACGGCAAACTTCTAACAACTGCTAAGAATACGCTAGTAGAAAAGTACGGTACGAAAAACTCTACATTTCTTGTGATTGACAATAACTCCTTAAAATAAATGAATGCACATGCAAGCAAGTTAATATGTAAATATTGAACTTGGAATACTAAAAAATGTAAGGAAATTGAGCCTCAAGTCCAAATCTTATTCAGTGACATTCATGCCTGGTGCTAAAAAAATATTGAATAGAATGTCAGTAAAACTATGAACATTCTTTGCTTAAAAATACATATGAAGGAATACATTTTTCCGTGGTTGTTTTTTTCCCGTCAGGCAAATTATGTTTCCAAGGAACCTCCAGGACATTCTATTGACATTAATTCGAAACTTTGAAACACTCTTTTTTCCCAATCCTCAAGGCAAATCCTATCCACCTCATAAAATGACGTCATTTCAAATTTCAATGAAGATCATTCAGATTATTAGGGATTGTTACACAGGCTAAAAATGACGTTTTACAAAAAAAAAAAAAAAAAAAAAAAAAAAAAAAAAAAAAAAATTATTAGATTACAAAATTTTGGCTTTATCTTGATTCAGAAAACTGATTAATATAACTTGGTCACAATTTCAGATATTTCCAACTCAGGCAACTGTTTCTTTAACCAAATACATAAAAATCGTATTTATGACAGGGATTATACAATTATGAAAACAAATCAAGCAAAAGGGGAAAAAATAAAAATAAAATAAAAAAAAAGACGCAGCCAAAAAAACAAGCGAAAAATAATTTGTTTCAGCTAACAATACATAATGACAAACGTAAAGATTGAAGAGAATAATTAGTAGGGTTAAAAAAATCTAGAAAAAAAGGGTAACCACGAATGGTGAAACACATAAAATAAAGGATGCAAAAGATAATTCCGACTTGTATAAAAATAAAAAAGTGGTAACATGAATCAACATTTCTTCCGCAGAGTTGAGGGACTTAAAGTAGAATTAGAAAAAAAGGAGAGGGAATTAGTTCATTTAAAAATCTTTTAAAAACCTATAAAAAATTAAAAGCCAGACGAGCGGGAGAGTTTGCAGGATGAGGAGAACGACCAGCTCTGTTTCCGCGAAATTTGTTCTACAAAATGACAGCCTGATCGAAAAACGGTCATCAAAAGGTATCTTTGAAAATAGACACAGAGCCGGCTCTCAAGATATCCATTCTTTTAAAAATAGCGAGAATTAGTTTGGACCTCAGTTGCGCAACAAAAGACAGAAAAAATACCGATAGATAATCCAAACTTGTCAGTGTTTCCTGACAGTTCTTCATTTGCGCTCACCTGGGGTGCAGAAATGTTGCATTTAAACATCTGTGCAGAAATTGCGATATGAGAAAGCTTCCTCAAATTAGTGAGAAGACTAAAAGATTTCTAGCAGAGAGAGAGATTTCAAAATTTTAACAGAGTTTCCTTCGGAACTTCGTGCAGAGAGTCATAAATCAAAACAAAACCAGGAGCACTGCTGGTGTGTACATATTGAGACCGTTTACTTGCGAATCAGGAACTATCTATCTGCTTTTAAAGGGTCATTACTTGAAAGTAGCTGGCGTTTCCCTTCCTTTTTAAAGGAGGAATTATCACCATTGAAAGTTGGTCATTTGGTGGAGTAAAAACTACAAATCGAAATAAAAACCTTGCCGAGAATTCACTGTTTTTTGGATGGAGATGCATAAAGTCCAGTTAATGTTTTTCAAACTCCTAATTCACTTTGACTTTACACAACAGTTAAAAAAATAGTATGCTCTTAAGCAAAGTACAGCTATATCTTTTTTAATTTTTTTTTTACAAAATATTTTCTAACTACAGACAAACTTCCGTGAATTATCTATCCAATGTAAAAATTGAACTACCTATACGCGCAAGGGTAAAAAAAATAAACAAATAAACAAAATAACCTTTTTTGTTTTTTTTCCCGAGAAAAGAGAAAAAAAAGTTAGCTAAGAATAAAACAAAAAGTATGAACTAATTACTTTACAATGATTAACATCAATTCAACAGCAATTTGGACTACCTTGAAAAATTTGCTAGCACATTTCAAACATCTTCATACGGTTGACACAAGAGAGGTTCAAAATGCAAGAAGCAATTGATATATCAATTTTAAATTAATTTAAAAGAGACTCAATTAATTCAATTAAAATATGAGTAACCATAGTCGATAGTAGTAAAATTTTACACTAATCTTAGGTGTGGTTGCGCAGGGAGAGAAATGAACTGCATGCAAGAGGAAATCGTGACATCGACTTTACCGTACCCGCCGAAGTAAAACCATTAGTGTATCAATTTGATAAAATAGATAATTATAGCCTATTAACCAAAATTACTTAAGACATAAAATTATAAAAAAGAGAGAAAAATTATAAAAATTGCATTACTCGAAAACATACATATTTCATTTTCCGTTTTTTTTTTTTTTGTCAAGAATGAGAAAAATATTTAAGTTTTTGAAAAATCAACAATCTCAAGAGTCAAAAGTAGACACGCATATGCAAGAGATGTCCCTTTAGAGTGGAAACAACATACAAGATTTTTCCAAGTCAAAACGTGATAAAAATAAATGAATAAAAAAGAAAAAATAACAAAACGTAAAAATAAAAACTGTGAAATCAAGTAACACTTTTTCTTGGAAAATAAAATTGGTACTACCCCCTTTCCCCGATAACAAACAGGCGAGAAAAATCATATTTACACTGAAATGTAAAAAGAAGAGAATAGAAAAAAATATATCTAAGGTATTGTATTACAACATTCAAGTTTAAATATGGTATGTATACGTACAAAGAGTACACACTTATATGCTTGCATTTAGTAAGGTAGGTAGTTACAAGTTACAATTAGTTAATAGAAAGGATGAAGAAAGGAAAACAGAAACGTTGACTAAGGAGAGATAAAAATAAAAAAAATAAAATAAAAACTGAACCCTCTAAATATATGGTATGAACAAATAGCTCCGCTGAGCGGAAAGAAACATAAACAAGGGCAACTATACACTGATCTAGAACTGATTAAGAGGTATCTGATTAAAAGTATAACTGCTTATGAAATTTGACTAATCTCGGAGAATTGAAAGCAGCGGCATCTCCGCTTCAGCTTCAGCGATGAAAAAAGGAGAAAATATACAAGGTATAAAAAACTCACAAATAAAAAAGTGAATAAAATAAAAAATAGGTAACATGATTCACAGTCATTTGAAAAATGTTGCACAGGAAGAAGAGACTAGCAGAAAAAGCAGAGTTTTACATACATTCTAGCTCCGCTAGTTTCGGTGGTTAGACAACTTGGTAAAAGCCATTTTCACTTAAATAATAACACATGCTCCTAACGTTTCTAACGCTAAATGCTAGTCTCCCGAGATGACGTCCCGTTATGCCACTTGCTCGGCTCTCCTTAGAAGATCAACGACTCTTTGCTTTAAGGAGCTTCGTTTATTCAATAGTCATACTGAAAAAAAAGAAACTCTCAAGATGGATTCAAGATTTCCATAAGATCCAAATAAAAGTTAAGTATTTATCTGAATCCAAACGAAACTGCATTTCGAAACTTGCTGGCGAATCATAGGATATCATCCACTAAAAAGGACCAATGTATGAAGTGATGTGTTTTTATGCTCTAATTACACGATCTTAATTCTAAACAACAAGAGAATATAAGCATTGAATGGACTGACTCAACGAGACTTTACAACTCTTACTTTCTGCATTTTTCCCGATGAAAAGTTATAAAAAGACTGGCTTGTCCCATTGACTAATTTTTTATTTCAATTTCTTGCTAATTAAACTTTCATGGCTGGAACATCCAAAAGTATTGCACAAAATATTGGAGTTAGTTAGAAAACTCCCCCTTTAGCACCAGGATGGTCCAAATTGGAGCAACAACAGTACAATTCAAATGCTTTGCAACAAAAAAGACTTTCGCAAAAAACAATAACAGTCAGAACAGTACTATGATTCAGCGCTGAATCAAATTTTTTATTTTACGTTGCTGCAACATTCATTGACAACAACAGAAGGTACGTTTTAATAACAAGGCCAAACTTAATTAGCAGACACTGAGCCAAAAAAATAGTGTTGGGCGCCTTGAAAAATAATTTCTTAAATTTTCAAATACAGCGACTCTCGACTGAAGTTGTAATCGAGTTGAATTTTTTCTCCCGCAGTTCGTTGAGTCAGTCGGATAAAAAGAGGAAGGAATAGAAAAAAAATATCTAAAAACCATCAGAAGTCAAACGTTTTGCATAAAAAATAAAAAATACACAACTATAAATAAAATATCATTCGTTTAAAAATGTCAAAGATAAAATGAAAGGTAAAAATATGCTCTAGTAAGAAAATAAACTTTTTTTTCTGTTTTTCCCAACAGAGGAGGAGAAACTAGAAATAAATACATGGTTTTTTTTTCTTTTTTTCTTATGAAAACGAGAAGGGAGGCGCTGCTTTCAATTCCTGAGTAATACAGTCACGCAAGCTTAGGTCCTTGCGTGAGTTTCCTTAAAATTGAACTAGATGAAGAGCGTAATTGGACTACGATTATGGATTAGAGTGCACATTGAAACCACTGCTGTTAACACCAACGGAACGGCACAGCCCGAGGTCGGTCGGCACCTTCCTTCACGAGTGGTTTGTGGAATTCACGTCCGGGTCGGGAGTGAATCGTCGCCCAGCAATGCTCACAGTAGTACTGCAACACACACCAAACACTTTAATTTCATTCATTCTAACACACACCTTCAAATTTCTTATCTTGTCATTTCAACTACATTGCGCACATAGGTACCAACTTTTAAGACTCATTTTAGAGACAACATGTCAATCTATGATTTCCGTACACAGACAGCTTGCCATAATTTCTTTGAATTCCTTGACTTTCCCTGACTACTTTTGCTTTTCCCTGACTCTGGAAATTTTCAAAGACCCTGACTTTTCCTGAACTTTGAAAAAAATGTCCACTTTTTTCCCCCTTGAAGTACCTTACCTTTTTCTAGACTTTGGACTGAATTTCCTTGTTCAAAGGTCAAATGATAGATAAAGGCATTCAGTAAAAGGTTAAAGGATGACAAGCCTTAAAAATAACCAGAGGGATAAACAGTTGTAGGACAAGAGATACGTTTTAGTGATCGGTAGATGTGTCTCAAATTCCCTGACTTTTCCCACAAATTCCCTGACTTTTCCCACGAATTTCCTGCCTTTCTCGGTTTTCCGGACCGCTGGCAACCCTGCAGGTGTGACATTGACATGTGTATTGCATCAAACAAGGACGAGCAAATTTTTTGGCTCATTTTAAAAACAAAATATGTGCTACTGATTTCTCTACGCAAATAGGTACTTTTACAAATTGGCCAAAAAATTTTGTTTCTTCTGGTGCAATACTGTCCATTTTGACATAAATTTCCAAACATCAAACTTCTCACACTTGGTTCATGACTCAAGTGCTCATAGAAAAATTCGTAATGCTTATAAAAGGCTGAAATCATGTAAATCTTTGTTTTGATTGACTAGCGCACTTTTAATAAGGCAAAATATTCATGGTCACCTAAGTAGTTCCCTCTGACAACTCTACGGTTAATCATAAACCTCAAAGATTTGAACTGATACTTTTCTTATGACCCCGGGCGCAAAAATCCAAGTTTTGAAGAAAAAAAAAAACTGGGAAGACTCAAAAGATCGAGCCCATAAATGTATGTGTCTGAGGAAAATCTACTAGAAATGAACTCAAAAGATTGCACGCTCGCTAAACAGCACAGTGTTCCCTATTTTCCTCAAAACTTGGATTTTGGCGCTTGAACCCTTCAGAAAAGTAACAGTTTCTTATCTCTTGTAGAGTATGTGTCGCATCAGCACTGTAACTGAGGTTCAGTTGACAAAGAGGGGACTTTTTCAGGTTTCATTCAAATTTTGCTCTTGAGGCCATGGTAAATTAAATTTTCAGAAAAAATAAGGGCCTTTTCTGGACGTCTTTCCAGGAACCTGGGGATTTTACGTTCAAAGTAAACCCTCATGAGACAAGCCTCCTTCAAAAATTGAAACTGAGTTCAAAGCTAGTTGGGGCTTCTTTGGTGTACTGGATATTGGAGTTTTAAATTGACACTTACCTGTAAACATGTGACGTTTGCACAAAAGAAGGGTGCAAACTTCCCAGCGCAACGCTGTCCCTGACATTCATCACACATCTGATCATCTAACACGTACGGTTTCACTTCAACCTAAGGAAAAAAGAGAAGCTAAATTATCAATCTGGGTATACAAAAATATTTAACTCAATTTTATCTATTGAAATAACCAAGAACTTCTTTCAATATTAACGCAATAATGGTTGATTCTTCATTGATTGCCTTCAGAACTACTCAGAAAGTTTAAAAATGAGAACAGAAAATGGATTCAAAGTTTGAAAACAGAGAATATAATTATAGCGAATGTGAAATAGATAGCAAAAGATTTCAACTTTAAGATTCATTTTAGTTTTTGTTAAAATCTTTATTTTTCCTCAAATTGGGAGGCAGTACTTTTCAGCAATCCCTGGAAACCAATCCAAAGAAAGATGGGAAATACTGAGATTCTATAATTTTTTTTCATTTTCTTGAAAAAATTGACCGAACAATTGAGTATCAAATCCGGAGCATTATTTCTAGCTAGTAGAGGACGGCTATTCCCCTTCCCTAACGTATTCCATGGAGTCAATGCCAGTCAATTTTAAGGTATTTTGTAAGCTTTTAAGCATGATAGCAACAGTACTGGGTGACAGCAACCATCAAGCGAATATCGGTGAAAATAAACTGTAGGTTGATATAGCTCCTTAAATGTGTCTACGCTAAAAGAAAAATGTTGAAATAAATTAAATAAAAAATAACAATAAAGTATGTAAAATCTTAAGAAAAAAGTTCCTTTCAGTTCCTTTCATTTCTAAAGCAAAAGTATGACACCATGTGGTGATTCAATATTTCCGCTTCTATTTCATTTTTTCGAAACAAAAAGCGAGCAAATATTATAGCTTGAAATTTATACAAAATAGTCTACTGACAGACAAGAAAGCCAAGGAAGTTTTCAGGAAATTATACAGACTAGTTGTCCAAAGAAAAAATAAATTAAGATGGGAAGCCTGCAACATAGCAAATTGAGGTACTCAGTTTTGCACTTACACCATCGCTTTGCTTTTGGTGCCTTATTGCTTAATTACACCCGGGAAACGTTATTTGCTTCTTAAGGGTCAGAGCTTGGAAATAATTTAAAGAAATCGTGAGGCATTTGAAACTGTTAGCTTATCTTCAGGTTTAAAAAATGGTCTTCTCAAGAAATTACACACAAATAACACGCGGTCTATGTTTTTCAGACCTGAAAGTGAGTCAATAGCTCATGACAGCCAGCGTCCAATAAGTTTTAAAATAGTTTTTAAGTATCATTCAAAGTGAATGACATTTCCCAATGGACCATTAGACAAGGTACGAATTTAAGCAATCTGATACATGTTTCTTAACCAGAATTTCACGTAGAACACGATTCAAACTACGAAAATTACCGAAATCAACTTCTAGCGAAGATATTAACGTTTTTATTTCACATTGGGTACGAGGAATTTGAACTGCCCGCTCACAAGAAACTCAAAGCTCTACGTGAGTCAAATCGCGCACTACAACGGTTTCAGCAAGCTTCTCAATCGAGCAATGTTCATTTTCCACCATAAATTGTTCAAACTATTGGTAATCTGCTATAGCTGAGCCAAAGTGTCAAGATTGAAGTTGAAGATTTTTACATCGCAGAGACTGTCATGATAAACATTTAGCGCGCGATGTGAATCACGTAGAGCATTGAGTTTTCATGAGCGGGTGGTTTGAATTCACGCATCAAGAATCATTAAATATCTTCGTCGGGAGTTGATTTGGGTAATTTTCGTTGTGCGTATCGTGTTCTACGTGAAATTTTGGTTGAGAAACATGTATCAGAATGCTGAGGTTCGTACCTTGTCTAGTGGTCCATTATGCAATCTGACAGAGTGATAGGAGCCCCACCTAACTTACATCCATCTAATTTGCACACAAGTTACGATTTCGTAGTTCCAAAAAAAGTCTCAAAAACAGGTTTCCTGTTCCTAGTTCGAACTGTTGTGTGACTTCTGAGTCCAGCTGAAAATGAGTAAGACCTTTATTGGGAAATTCTATTTCGTTCTCGTGTCTGGTAAAGCATCTATCCTACAATTATTTCAGCTAAAAAATGCCTTTATTGTCGATGTGTTGAAGGCCTTTCCATGGAGTTTCATCCTTTCCTCAACAATTTCAGCCTTCCTTCCAAGTCCAAATATTCCTCTCAAAAGATGCCCGACGGTTGCTGTTTGTGTTCAACTTTTTGAAACAACTATTCATGGACCAGAATAATAATTCAAATTTAAACATACTCTTTTGTCGATATCGGCATGTTGGAGTTGGACGAATCGAGCGGATATAGCAGCGATGTAGCTTTGCTGGTTGCTGAATGCTACTCGGCCGGCGCCTTTTGGGTACTTTAGTTCCGGGTCAGTGTCAATTCCAGCGTAGCAGACACCTCCATAAAGTCTGTCCATGATCATCGCTAGCTCGACTGGAAGCACAAGAATAAATGAATTATTCTCACAAGAATTACGTATAATATTTTTCTACAACGATCTTCTTCTTCTAAATTGAATAATTCTTTAAAAAATATAAACACGTGGTAAATAATGATTTTCTGCAACGAAGCTATTATTTTTGTGCTGTAATTGAGTTTTAATTCAATTTTTTAATTTTTTTATAAAAAAAAACAACAGGTGATGGTAAGTTAAATTTTACAGCCATCTTGCATACATCATTTGTTCATTTTACATCACTGCCTTCACCTGTCATGCAAATATCTCAGAAATCTCAAATAGTGAGCCTGAAAAATGGATTAACAACTTAAAAAATTCATTAATTTGGATTTACTGCCAAATCAGCTAAAATAAATGACGAGGTACAAAATCGAAGCTAATTTTAAGCGTCCCTGTTGATGTAAGTAGGAACACATCCCTTGCTCACGATAACTTTCTTTTCTTTTGGGTCACTAAAAGAGTCAGATACTTTTTCTGATTTTCCAACTCCTGTCCTGACTTTTTTCAAAAATTCCATAACTTTCCCTGGCCTTTCCGCGACTTTACTACCGCAAAATCTTCAGGGTTGCCACAGAATATAGAAAATGAAATTCCCTGACATTTTCCTGATTTCCCTGACGTAATTTGGTTCAATTCCCTGGCAATTTAATATGTGATGGATGGTTAAGAAGACTTGATTAAAAACAGTTTTCAGGCTAAATTCGTTGTTCGAAAGCTCAAACCCATTATAGAAAGCAAATGAAGGTGATTGAACCCCTGATTCCCCCTGACATTTTTGGTCTTTTTCCCTGACTTTTCAAAATTCCCTGACATTTTCCGGTTTTCCCTGACATGGGCAACCCTGAATCTTATTGTGAAAAAAACTTGTGCTTATAAATATTGAAATAGATAAAGTTTCCATTGGAAATAGGAGAAATAGAGAATTTGCGGGTGTCTGGATGAATTCCGTGTCTACGTGTAAACTACTGAGTGAATTGATCACAAGGATACCCTTGGTTCATAAATTGAACAATTATTGGAGAAGATATGACAAAATGATCTCTTCTGCTAAAATACGCGAGTTTAAATGGGAAATGCCGCCAGATGACGTCACTAGGCGGTGCATTTTCTCACTTTTATATCTATTTTTATATTTTTTCTTATATCAGAAAAAAATTATAAAAAATACTATGAAATCAGCTCTTTAAGCACTTTCAGGGCCGTTTGTAAAATCTCTTGTCAACCTCTGGTCACCAAACCAGTGGACAGACTCGGACCAGCAGTCAATCTACCAATCAGCCTAATTACTGATTTGCTAGTGAGAACATAGGCTGACCGGAACTTGACCTGAAGAAAACCGGGAGTCATACACACCTACCTCTGGTACAGCTCTGGTCATCTCCAAACTACCACTTTGACAAGCACCTGACCAGAGGTCTAACAATCGGCCCTCCAGATGAAATGATAAAAAATTTGCATGCAAATTCTCCATTGGAGAGTTAAGGCAGGGTGTCTTGTCTACTGAAACAGGCTAGCCAAAAATCAGTACTTTTACGGTACTTTTTCAGTACATTCCCAAGAAATTCAGTACCTCCTCAACAGGAAAATTCAGTGCTTTTTCAATACCTCCAGCCGACGAAATTCGAAAAATTTCAAAAATTTGAATTTCCCGCTCAAAGTGCGACAAAAATGAAAACAAATTCCGGACTTTCTTGCAAAATTTCCGCACTTGTTCAGCAGGTACTCCTGGACCGTCCTTGAAAAATCATCACTATTTCCGGACTTGTCGAAAATTCCGGATTTGTGGACACCCTGACTTCAAGCACCTGACCAGAGGTCTTGCAATCGGCCCTCAGATGAAACAATAAACAATTTGCATGAAAATTCTCCATTGGAGAGTTAAGGTGAAATGGAGATGTTGCATGTGTGAGGAATTTGCGATTTGACTATTGATTCTTATGAAAAAGTTCGCGAGAAACACGATGGTGCCACTGGTTTTCTCTGAAGTCATCTCCCAAGCTCAAAGAAGCTCTCAAGTTGAGGCCAAAATGGAGGGGATATCCCGCCCTACCCTGAGAGTCCACCTCTACATCAAAACGAACTCTCCATGCAAAGATAGGGAGCAAATACATTGACAGGGCTGCCACTTCATTTGGGGACTCCAAAACTGAAAACACGGCAACCCTGCTAATGTATTTGCTCCCTATCTTTGCTTGAACAGTTTGTCTTAATGTAGAGGTGGACTCTCGGGATAGCGTGGGATATCCCCTCCATTTTGACCTCAACTTGAGAGATTTTTTTGAGCTTGGGAGTTAATTTCAGAGAAAACCAGTGGCACCAACGTGCTTTTCGCGAACTTTTACATGAGAATCAACAGTCAAATCGCAAATTCCTCACACATGCAACATCTCCATTGCGTGGGTTTTGGGTTAAAATCCCATTGTCTGGCGGTGGTGCGGTACGGTGGGAGAGCGTGGAGGTGGCGTACCTGCTTTGAGCGGCCTGGGGACGCCGCCGACGAAGACGGTCTTGCGGGGGTCGAGGGGCATGGAGGCGTCGAGGACGAAGTCGGCGTCGGAGAGGCGCCACGGTCGGATCTGGACGGGCTTGTCCTTGATCGTCGGCGAGGAGACGCACAGGTACAGCTTGTCCTCGTCCTGGATGCAGGTCTCCATGAGCTGCTGCACCGAGATCTCCTCCTGGAACAACAGGAACGCGTAGCCCTTCGGCGGGAAGTACGACTTGCTCTCGGCCTTGTGCGGCCAGTCCACCACCAGCGGCCCGAACCGACGGAAACTCGACGTGATCTCGTCTGAAAATCACCAATTCACACCAAGTTAGCCACAAACGCCCATCGGGAATACAACACAGAAAAAAAGGAGGTGTTTGCATCTCGGGCATCTTGGAATTTTTTGATGACTTGATGACGTAGGTGGGTACAGCGACGTTTTTATCCTGTCGATTTTCTTGGAAATGGTGTAATTTAAGGAAAAAAGTCATTCTATAAAAAGTGCTTGATATTATATAATGAGTTGATTTTAGTAAAAAAATCGGACAATATGGTCCGTTTTTCATATTTAGCTAAACGTCGCTGTACCCACCTACGTCATCAAGTCATCAAAAATTCCAAGATGCCCGAAATGCAAACACCTCCTTTTTTTTCTCTATGGGAATACAATAGTCCCGTGCTAATGCCGCAATCACACGCTGAATTTGGCAGCTGAATGTGGCAGTCAACAGTCAGCACTCAACAGCTGAAATTTCACTAATTCGAGTTATTTTCATCCAGATGTGTATCAAATCAATTCGAATAATTCGCAAAAATCGGACATTGTCCACTGGTCGCTGAGAATCGCTGAATTTTGCGCGTGATGCGCAAAATTCAGGCATCGGGCCGATGACTTTCATATTCAAACCACATTCAGCGTGTGGTGGAACTCCCGGTCCCAAACCACACATCTCGTTTGCGGTATTTAAAAATCTCTGCTCCCATCTTATTTTTGTACAGCTTCACGAACCAACGTCATTCCTTGAGGTTTCCACAGAATTTTCTTCGCACAGAGAAGAAAACTCATGGGAGATTTCGAAAATAAGCGTCCCGTCGTTTTCCATTTAAAAAATAAAGCAGAATAGGAAGTCTACCTAAGACGTCGTGAACCGAGATACGTGGTTTGAGGGTTTCACCGTCAATATGTATATTTTAATCCAACTTGAAGAAGGCTGTGTTGTTTCCAGCCGAAACGTCTTAGTGGCCGTGTTCTTTTCTAGTCTTGTGACCCACAATTGTATTTTTTAAAAATGTATGTCTTGACACAAACTGCTCAGTTTTTAACATATCTCAAGTCTATTCATTGCAGCTTTTGGCGCTACATTCACCGCCAACTGTACCAAAATCAACTCAAAATTAGGGTTGGTTTGTGTTTCACTGCCTACACAGACAAAAACAGATGGTGCTGACGACAAAACTTTCTGTTCACAGGGCTTCTGCAGTGTCTTTGTCACACTTACAGAATTTTTCTGTTGTGAGAACAGAACTTTGATCGTGGGGACACAGTACTCTGTCCTCATAACGGAAGCTTCTATGACTGTTACAAAAGCCGCGATAAAAATGGCATATATTAGTAAGGAGGGAAGCAAAAATAACCATCAAATGGAAACAAGAAACATTCTAGTGAGAACTACGAGAAATTTTGACACGGGCTGACTGGGATAGCATTGAGTTTAGGGCTGTCAGATTTTTAAACAAGTTACCCAAAGAGTTGAAATAAATCTTTATCGAAGCTGAGTCACCAAATTTGTTCATTGAGGTATTAAAAGAACTTTTTTTACAAAACCCGCTCTACGCCTTACGAGAGTTTTTTTTGTAAGATTACTCTTTTTTGTAACTTTCTCTAATGTGACTTTTTTGAGCCTTTCTGTTCAGGCTAATGTACTAATCTTTACAAATAAATAAAATAAAATAAATAAATAAAAGAAGTGCAGGAGCCCTGTGGATAGAACTATTTTTTCAGTGTACATTAACTGAAAGTAACACAAGAACACAAATCGACGGTGTAAGTCGGCAATCACACAACTCGGTTTGCGAAGTCGCAGACTTCCTGTCATACTTCATTTTTTAAACGGAAAACTACCCAACGGCAATCCTTTAAAACTGTCACGATTTTTCTTCTCGATGCGAAGGAAATTCTGCAAAAACTTCAAGAAATAATGTCAATTCGTTCTCCTTGAAAAAAAATGACGCAGAGGCGGAGATTTTCAGACACCGCAAACGAGTTAGGTGATTGCCGACTTACACCGTCGACAGTCTCAGTGTGGACAACTCAAAGACATAAAGACGGAGCGCTAAAAGCAAAAAATGAAGCTTCTTTTCAACCACCTCTACTATTGGCTAGAGGATTGGCGGCGAAATCGGGACAAGTTTGAAATTCAAATGTAGGGCGGGAACTAAATAAAATTGCGGAAACAAAGTATTTTAGGTTGATTTTTGCCAGAATTCACTTACACACTCATATTTGTATAAATTTAGGTTAGTTTTGGTCCGTCGTCGACCGATTAATTTCATTTGGGAGTAACGGTCATCTACGACTGTAACGGTCTGTTTGAACCGGCAGAACCACCATGAGCAGAAGAAAAACTAACTTTATCTGAGATTGCTGCCTGTTACCGAGCAAAAGTAGGTGTATTATAATAGGACGCAGTCCCAACTTTCTTAATTTATTCGTTTTAGGCATTTAAAATAGGTTTCGAAGAAGAAATGTGGAAAAATCAAGAGGACAAGTTCAAATCAAATTTCCGTTTGCCGCCATGGATTCCCGCGCTCATTTACACACTCACACAAGCACCCAGCGCCAAACCAGGCTTCACTTTTTCCCCGTGCTTTTAGATACGAGCACTCCGTCTTTATGTCTTTGCTCAGTGTGGACAACTTGTGTGGGAAGGAGGGTTACCTTCATCGATGTCTGGTGGGAGTCCGCCGACGAAAACTTTCCTGGAGAATCTCTCGCCGGGCTCGGAGCTCTGGCTGTGCGGCGAGGAACGGGATGGCGAGCTCAGGGTCGGAGGTGGGTTGTTCAGGTTCTGCCCGTCGTCCAGAATCGACTGGTCCTCTAGCGTCGGAAACAGGCACTTCCCTGCCAACAAAAAGGAGAATACATGAGTAACGAGTTGACAATCATGAAAACACCCGCACTGGTAAAAACAAGTCAAAGATTACTAAGGACTCCGGATACCGCATTAAAATAAAAAATGGCCCCCCAGTCCCCTGCAGCTCCAGGGTAGGCAACCTGTTTAGCGGTATGCCATACTTCGAGCTAACGAATATACTGCTTGCCGTGTGTTTGACCGGTTTCGCCGTGCTGTGCTAAGTTTGGTTGAAGATTCACTGTTTTAAATTTTCTCATGTTTTAAATCGTTAAAAAATGCCGAAAAAAAAAAAAAAGAAAGAAAGAAAGTAGTAGTAGTAGTAGTAATATAATTTTATTTTAAAGCGGTGCTTTAGCATCTAAGGCCATTTACACCTCTAAAGAGAAAGAAAGAAAGAAAGAAAAAATTAATGCAAATATCTCTGCTCAATTTTCTGAATCCATTTACCATGACTAGTGACTAAAATGAACAATTTTCGCAATTTGCCGTTCATAATCTGCACATTCGAAGTGCAATTTCCCATGAACTTCCATTACAAGTGGGCTAAAGTATGGCATACCGCTACACAGGTTGCCTACCCTGGCGCTGCAGGCGACTGGGGGGCCGCTTCTTTCCTACGGCAAGTATACGACGTGCGGTGTCTGGAGTCCTTAGTAATCTTTGAAACAAGTAGCTTGGATCTCGAGTCCAGACTCTTAAAAACATTGACAAGACAAAATACTCTCGATTCAAATGGAAATCCGCTTCGCTACTTCTCGATTGCTAAGTTTCTTTTTCGCATTTCTAATATGTGCATCGTGTCCAGGAACCATGTGCGTGGGAGCAATTTATTGTTTGAAGGCATCACCATCACCAGGGAGTTATGCGGAAACCTAGATTCTGTAGCAAATTTAAATAAATTTCCCTTGAAGACTTAAATATTTTTGCACCCTGGTAAAAAAAAGTAGCTTGGATCAAGAGCCCAGACTCTTAAAAACATTGACAAGAAAATATACTCTTGATTCAAATGGAAATCCGCTTAAATCAAGAGGCTTGGCTCTTCGATTCAAGGAAAAATCCGATTGAATCAAGAGTATTTTTTCTTGTCGATATTTTTAAGAGTCTGGACTCTTGATCCAAGTTACTTTTTTTTACAAGTGCGCAAAAATAGTAAAGCCTTCAAGGGAAAATTATTTGAAATTGCTACAGAATCTAGGTTTCCGCATAACTCCCTGGTGATGCCTTCAAACAATTGTTCCCACACATGTGATTCCTGGACACGATGCACATATTAGAAACGCGAAAAAGAAACTTAGCAATCGAGAAATACGCAGTTCAAAATTCGCAACTTTACCGTAAATTGCAGGCTCGGGATGTGGACTAGTCCAAAGCGGTGTGGGAGAGCACCGAGAAATCACGAATTCGCAACGGTCAAGACGCGCACCGTAGAGAATGCGCAACGCGTGAAGTATCCATACAGTTATGTAGGCGCTAATATGCGTGAAGCGCGCACCGTGGTGTACGCGCAATGCGTGAAGTATTCCTACAGTCTTGTAGGCGCTGATAGGCATATCGCGCCGACCGTACTTCGGAGCGATTATCTTCACTCGCGGAGTCAGCGTTTTCCGACTTGTTATTACCATTAAGTTTTTGCACACTCTGTGTGGATTACTGACATTTAAATTGATGGTGATTTAACAAATTTTCCCTAACATTTTCGTCATTTTCGTAATTCTCCCTGACATCTCCCGGTTTTCCCTGACATTCCCCGGTTTTCCCTAACTGTGGCAACTCTGTATCTTCCGTGGCATGGCAGGATGGTTTGGAATCATTGGTTTTTGAAGGTCCCGACCATACTCGCACGGAGAAAAAAACTTCGTGCGTGGGACCGGGGGACCCGAAGTTTAGGTCATATGGATCTCTGAAGTTTTCGGATTGAGCATCTGAACACTTTAGATCTAGCTGCCGAAGTTCAGGTCTGACATCTGGAACTTCAATTCTCACATCTGAAGTACTTCAGATGTGAGAACCGAAGTTTTTCGGATGTGAGAACCGAAGTTTTTCGGATGTGAGAACCGAAGTTTTTCGGATGTGAGAACCGAAGTTTTTCGGATGTGAGAACCGAAGTTGTTCGGATGTGAAAACCGAAGTACTTCAGCTGTGCGAACTGAAGTTTCAGATGTGTGATCCAAACCTCACCAGCTGGACCTAAAGTGTTCAGATGTTCAATCCGAAAACTTCAGCGATGCATATGACCTAAACTTCGGGTCCCACGCACGAAGTTTTTTTCTCCGTGCGGAATCGAAGCTCGGAGTGGAAGCCGGGCGAGCAAAAAAACTGGAGCCCTCCGCGGCACAGAGGGACGTCCGACGCCGGATGACAACGTTAGGTCACCGGTGATTGCCGCGCTGCTTCTAAAATTCGCCTACTTCACATTGTTCTCGCGGTAGCGAACGGGTTTTTTCCTCCATCCGGCGTCGGCGAGTCTCCGCGCATTTATTCGGAAAGTCAACAAAAAGCAATCATCGTTACGTTGACGATGCGCCGGCCGACCGGGGCGCCGGGCGGGGAGGATAACGTAATTAAAACGAGATGTTGCTTGTTCGTTCCGGGCAACAAACATTTTATTGCCGCGACATTAAAACATCCGTCATTGGCCATGCTCCCTCCTCCTTCTGCCCCGATCAAATTCCGGGCTTTTATCTCCGCCGTATATCGGCTCTAATTGACTTTCCGCGTCTTTTTCGCCCCGCCAGCATCCGCCCCCCTACGCTTTCGTCGAAGGAAAAACCACGTATGAGCATGCGCGGGTTCCCGAATATCCTCCGATAAAAGTTCCGTTTTCAAGGAGAACTATAAATATTTTCCCTTAAAATTTTCAGGAGCTTCAGGAAAAATTGCGTACAAAATTATCTAGAAAATTGGACGAAAAATATTCATAAGTTCACCAGGAAATTCGTGTTCTGTCCAGGGAAATTTGGCAAGGCCTGAAGGGTCATACGGGGATGATCCTCAGAACCGGGAAGGGGGGTGGGTGTTTAGTTTCCTCTTATCGCTTCGGGTGTTTTTGAGATTAACGAACGCCGGGCTCAGATACCCAAGGTGAAGGTCCTTTCGTATCAGTTCCATGCACAGTAAAATTATTTCAACTGCATTTTACAATACGGAACTATTTTTTCTAGCTCGTTTGACAAGACAAACAACATATGATGCCATGTATACATTCAACAGGCTCCCAAAGTTTTTCAAACGTTGTATAATTATTAAGGGCGGGAAAGGGGGTGGGGGGGGGTCCAGGGTTACGTTCCGAAGCGTTACATTGATGGGAGGGGGGGGGAGCTCAAAAATGCCGAAAAAGTGCGTTACGTAATTTATGAGCCCCCATATGGGGCCGCCAACGAGGAGGGTGCCATGTTTTTCGATTAAATGGACTGCGTTAAGCAGAAAGAAACCGAGTCACTTTGCTATTATCAAAAATCGAGCAATTTAATTTTTTATAAGAGAACGTTGGAGCAAACGTTTTTGAAAATTTTAAGGAACGCGCTACTTACTGTGCAAAAAATGCACTGAAATTTGCACAAAAATCCGCACAACAGTTTCCATGTAAAAAATTAAATTTTCTTAGTAAATCTGGCATTTCTGAAATTTTTAAGGGATTCTCTTTTTACTGTGCAGAAAATACACTGAAATTCGCACAACGGTTTCTTTGTTCCTGTTATTATTTAGTCAAATTACTCCTGCTTCCTAATTTTTAATTACTCTGCAAAAATTATCCGTTTGCGAAATACAATCCTGGCTTTAGTGCCCTTAAACTACTGGAGAACCGAAAAACCAAGCGGGAACGCTACTTCAATATTATGCTTCCATTGCCTTGCGAAGGCGCAGGGATACAACTATTTGAACTCTCCGGAACGCGTGAGGTATCACGCCTCAATTGAAGGCGTTTTCGAATCTTCTGTATTTACATGACGAGATTTTCCAAATTTTTTTGCAATATATTGTTGATTCGAGTTCCTTTTATTATTTAGTTAAATTACTCCTGCTTCTTAATTATTAATTACTCTGTAAAAATTATCCGTTTGCGAAATACAATACTGGCTTTAGTGCCATTAAACTACGGAATCAAAGGTCGAAACTGCAGTAGGTATCACGCCTCAATTGAAGGCGTTTTCGAATCTTCTGTATTTACATGACGAGATTTTCCAAATTGTTTTGCAATATATTGTTGATTCGAGTTCCTTTTATTATTTAGTTAAATTACTCCTGCTTCTTAATTATTAATTACTCTGTAAAAATTATCCGTTTGCGAAATACAATCCTAGCTTTAGTGCCATTGAACTACGGAATCAAAGGTCGAAACTGCAGTAGCTGCACTGGAAATCGAAAAACCAAGCGGGAACGCTACTTCAATATTAAGCTTCCATCGCCTTGCGAAGGCGCAGGGATACAACTATTTGAACTCTCCGGAACGCGTGAGGTATAACACCTCAATTGCAGGCGTTTTCGAATCTTCTGAATTTGCATGAGAAGATTTTCCAAATTGTTTTGCATTTTATTGTTGATTTGATATCCTTTTCTCATTCAGTCAAATTACTCCTGCTTCTTAATTTTTAATTATTCTGCAAAAATTATCCATTTCCGAAGTACAATCCTGGCTTTAGCGCTCTTTAACTACAGCCTTAACCGTGGAAACTGCAGTAGCGGCACAGGAAAACCGAAAAACCAAGCGGGGACGCTACTTCAATATTAAGCTTCCATCGACTTGCTAAGGCGCAGGGATACAACTATTTGAACTCTCCGGAACGCGTGAGGTATCACGCCTCAATTGAAGGCGTTTTCGAATCTTCTGTACTTCCATTACGAGATTTACCAAATTGTTTTGCAATATATTGTTGATTCGAGTTCCTTTTATTATTTAGTTAAATTAATCCTGCTTCTTAATTTTTAATTACTCTGTAAAAATTATCCGTTTGCGAAATACAATCCTGAAAAAGTTTGATTACCTCGA